TAGTGTTTTTGATAACAATCCTCTTGTGAGGAATACCTGAAGAAGTTGCCAGTGGCAATTCCGCACTGTTCAATGTTTCATAAGGTCGTTTATTGGTAGCAGCAGGCAGAGCTGTCTCCTCCCTCACCCGAGGTGACAAAGCTTTGTTCTCATGACCATCAGTCTTGCATACTTCTCTGGTAAGAGAAGCTGTATATTCTCTATTAGCATTACTGGAAATACCCTTAGCATTTGAAGACTGAATCACATTTACTTTATGGTCAAAAATATCCTTGGCACTGACAGGGGCAGGCCTACACCGTGAGTTTGATGCAAGATTTGTTTCTGTCTGTTCACAGTCATGTGGGGACTCATTTTGCACAACGCTTTTTATAAGGTCTGTAAGGCGTGACTTTAACGGTATTGAACTAACAGCCCCTCTTCTGGCATCATCTAGCACTTTAGCTGCTCCCCTGTTTCTTCTTGCATTAGGCAGTCTTATTAATGACCTTCTAGAGACAGTTTCAGGTCCCACTGCTGTTTCAGTGGGGTCTTCTCTCTCAAGCAGTGATTGAATAACATCCTTATTTAAGACAAGAACCTTATTGCTTTCCTGCATTACTTGACCTTGCTGGCTGCCCACATCTTTTATATTATTCTCTGCACAACCCTCTAGGTCACCACAACCATCTATTTCCCTTATTTCTGATCTGGCTCCTCCACTGAAAGAGGAACAAAGATGTTCTGAAGGTTTCAGACGAGTATCAGATACTTTGTGGGAACTGCTGGTGTATTTTGGCTTCTGTTCTGAGGTATTTGATTTAATTAAATCAGAAACTGTGTCATCTTTGCTTGGCAACGGAATCTCTGCTTTATTGTTTCTACATGGATCAGATGATTCAGCAGTGTTCTGAACTGAGGCATTTTTAGTTTCCTGTACATTTTTACTTGACTCTATAAGACTTGAACTTTTTTTCCCAGTAATGGATTTCCTCTTGACATCTTTTGATTGCAAGCTACATATTTCATAAGAATCCACAATTTCATTACATGCTTTCTTAAAATTTTCCTGGATGCTCTTCTCATCAACAATTGAAGGCTTCAGAACTGGAGCATTATGTAAACAAAAGTCATTGTGTTCATTAAATTCTCTGACGTCCTCACTACATGGTTCAATAAATAAATGCTCTCGTTTCAAAAATATTTTCACTCCTTCCTCTATGCAAGTTAGAAGAACATCCCAGTTCTGGAACTCAATCAGAGTCTTTGCAGGCTCCAGGCACACATCATAGTCACTGTATGCACAGGTTACATTGAGAATAAAGATCCCATACAACTCTGGCCCACAGCGATGGCGACCGGGACTTGAATTAGCCTGTCGGCTTGCAGGGACACTCTTTGCCTTGCAAATTACACTTTCCTTTCTTAATAAAAAATCAATTAGTTTATGTAGTCTTGTCTTTAAAACAAGCCTCCTATTGACATACAAGAACTGCATATTCTTATTGTAATGTCCCTCAGTACTGATAAAACCACTTATCTCAAATCCCCCAGACTTGTGATTTATTTCTCGCAACTTCTGGGATCTGCCCAGTCCATAAATTTGACAAAAGCGAGAGTACACATCTCTTGTCTTAGGGAGCTGAAGCACCATGGAACAAGAAACATCGTTTCTTAAGGAAAGAGAAACAGAAGGATGCATTAGCGAAACAGCCTCTACCTTCTGTCTCACTCTCTCAATTTCCAGCACAGGATCCATACACTTTCTCCTCACTGGTAACTGATGGAACAGATTGCACACGGTGACAGTAGTTCCGCCACTTGGTCTGTTCAATTCAGCTTCACATACTTCCAGTGCTTGCCCATTGTGAAACAGTTTCATAAATGTTTTTGCTGAACTGGTGGTCTTAGATGAGATTTCCACTACACCAGCCATGTTGGCTATACTTGCCAAAGCCTCTCCTCTGAAGCCATAGAAAGTCAGGTTCTCCAAGTCTCTCACTGAGCTGCACTTGCTGGTAAAGTAGCGCTTTCCAACAGCCTTTAGGTCCTCCTTCCCAATCCCAGAGCCATTGTCCACCACCTGGATCTTAAAAGCTTCCAAATCCACCCTGATAGCTACACATGTTGCTTTGGCATCAATGCTATTGAGGACAAGCTCCTCAACACACTGCCCGAGTGAGTTGACAGTGACTCCAGAACGCAGCCTGGCTCGCACATCTTCCACCAAACGTCTGATCATGTCAAAATCTGATAGATGAGAGCCATAAGAAACTGCAGGGAGCTCACTGCTCCATATTCCTTAAAACACGGAGAGATAAAGGGGGAAAAATTAAATAAATACAAATTAAAGACCTGAAATGACTTTGATTTATTTCATTCATCCTCATAGATACACTTTTCTTAGTTGTCTTGGCATTCAGAGGCTTTTTCTGTGATTATTTTCATGCTCATGCTCTGACTACACATTGTCAGCGCCTTCAGGGTAGACAGCCAGAGCCTGAGCCTAAGCTCCTTACTAACAACATGCTGTGTTCTCAAACTTTACATATCCAAATCACACTCCTACCGTGTGAGGCAAAACTCAAAGAACCTGTAAGCAAAAGGTTTCTACTGCAATTTTCATCAGAATTATAGAGTAAATATCACCAAGAAGTGGGCAGAAAGATCCTTTTCTCCTGTTTTTACATCCTCACAAAAACTGACAGTCCTGGTCAAATAGCATCTGCTCCTACTTACGCAGGAAAGGAGCAAAGCACGCTTAGCAATGGGTGTCAGGCACAAAGAGCAAGCTGTTTATGCGAAAGGGAACCCACTGTTTTCAAGTCCTTGGCGCCTAGTGGTTTCCTAGTGGCATTCAACGGGCCTGCCAGCCGTGCCTGGGGACCCGGTGCCGCCGCTGGGATAGGTCTGCG